AAATCGTTTTAAACTTGGCTTTCTTACCTCTGCATGTATCAGGCTGCGCTTAAAACAAGTTGCTTTTGACAGTGTTTCTGCAGTCTCTGTCTCAACAATTTGGATTTTTCAGGCTGCCAAGCAAAACAATTTGTTTTGGCCGAGTTTGCTTGACCCTTTAGTAAAATACTACACATTCCTGAGGAGTGAGTAAGATGCTTAAAAAAAAATAAACTCATGGGGTTTTTTTTGTGGTGATCTTGTTTTTGATACAGACTTATGAACTGAGACCTGATTTTATACAGTATTATACACTTTCTCAGTGTGTAGTGCCTCTCTTCTAGAATACATTGTTTCCCATGTGTGTATACAGCCAGCATTACAATTTAGTGGATTATTTCTGCCTTGAGCTTGAAGTTAGGTTCAAATTTTTTAATCCAATAAATAAAATTCTTAAATTCCTTGAGATGGTCTTTTTAAGGAAAGATGGACACGCAACTTCCTAAAAACTGCGGTATTTTAGTTACATTTATTAGACATTTAGGCTGATATAATTACGTATATGTATTAGACAGAAAGATGATCCAAGACCTAGGCATCCTTTAGTTTAACCCTTGCAGTGGTTTGGGACCAGAGGGATAAGACTGAAAAGAACACAGACTTCTAGGTTTGCTCTACCTCAAAATACTGCTTCGTGTGTGCTTTCACGTGAACTTTCTCTCTCCCTCTCTCTTACTGTGTTGAGAATGACTTGCTCTTGCAATATCTTGAAAATTCCGCTGCTGTTAATAGCTTTTATTTGAATTCTGGTAACTTCTAGAAGTGGCAGTTGGGACTGTACTAGCCTATCTAAACTGTGGAGACTTTCTGGGCTGAACAGTTCCCAGAAATACCTTTTGGATGGATGATAGGAAAAAAAAAAGTATTTTTATTTTATTCTTTAAATGGGGATTTGCAGTACAGAAACTACAGCTTGTTCAAAGCCATACAAAATCTGTGGAAGCAGCTAGGGTCTGCAACCCACTCTCTCTAGAACCCCAAACTGCCGAAATGACACGCCACTTGTGACCATCAGATCTCTTAGGGCAGTGTTCGGTGTTTGCTTCCCAGGGTGGCAGCTGGGCAGCTGCAGCTCAGAGCAGCCCTGCCCCGGCCCGAGGAAAGCGAACGTGCGCTACAGCCCTTTCCAGACCAGCTGCTGCCTGAAGTTTGACTAGGGCCAGGAGGGGTGTGTGTCGAGGTATTCTCATGGCTGGCAAATGTAAAGGAAATGGGTTTTGGGGGTAAATGGCCTTTAAATGTCACGTCCTTCCTTCTCCTGCTGATCAATTGCCAATTTGCATTCTGATGTAAAAAACTGAAAGCAGAACACTAAACTCCCATTTCTAGTGAATCCTTGGAAAATGTCACGTCCTTCCTTCTCCTGCTGATCAATTGCCAATTTGCATTCTGATGTAAAAAACTGAGAGCAGAACACTAATTAAACTCCCATTTCTAGTGACTCCTTGGAACGTACAGTTCTACTCATGATTTAGGTGTCAGCATGGGGTGTTTCACACATGGGTCTTCTCTGTCTCTATGTGAAATTGTCTTCCTACTTAGACTGCTGCTCTGTTGTTTTTTGGGTTTTTCTTTTTGAGGAGCGGGAGGTGGGGTGTTTATAGTATTTTCTTGCCAATTTTATGACTTGAAAGATACTGCATTTTAATAATTTTCTTTCATCAGCTGCGTTTCTTAGGGGTTGAATTGTCTTAAATAACGTTGAAAGTCAAATAGAAGCGTTATGTATTTCAAGGAAAATAGAGCAGTTTGTGACTGGTCCACAGAAGTTCTTAGCTTCTCGAGCTGGGTGCTGGAAGCAGAATTACACATCTGACCTCTGGGGGCTGTGTTTACATCACGCTGAGACGCAGCGCTTTCAGAACCTGTCGGGGTAGTCTTGTCGTCTTTGCTTTCCTTGAGGGAGAAAGGAAACTCCCAAAGAAGTATTTTTGTTCAGATTATTCCATGTCAGGTGATGAACTGTTTGATCTGCAGAGCATATCGTGACACAAATATGCAATCTTAAATGTCACGTAGCCCTGCCTTCTGAAATGGAAAGGTGGCCCCCACGGTCTCTGTTCGAAAAGGACAAGGAGGGCATCCTCTCCAGAACACGTATCCGCGAGTGGGTTGGAAAGGGTACG